TACAATCTTTCCACTCTGGAAAAAGACCAGTTCAAAGGTATCATGAAAGCCCAGGATCACCCTGACGCTCGTGCTCGTTATGAGTGGATGGAGACTTGGATGGATGGTGTTAAATGTGCTTGAGAAATCAAAAGCAATCCTCACCATGCAGCCGTTACTATCCACAGTGCATTCTCTGCAGCATGGAGACTGTTGCAGCATCCCCCCCAGATTTGGTCCGTACACAAACTACATAACACACCACATGATGCATACATGACAAACTACAACACACAGCTGTAACAACAGGATCTGTCAAACACGTACTCATAACATGAGAAGACTTCCACATGACTCTATATGTTACGCTTTTACTCAAAGAGCTCAAAGCCAGTGCAGTAAGCTCCGTCAGTTCTGAGAGATTCTTATGCAGCATTTATCCAGTTATATGTATATTTATAAAATGCATGTTCTTCGTCTCTCTGGGAGAGCCTTTGTAGCAGTAAAATACCTTTTACATTATGCATATTATTTTCTTTTGTAATCCGGAAAGACCTCAAAGAAAACCAGACACCGACAGATATGAAAGTAAGTTTACTTGTGAAGCACTTTAACTGTAAAAGCTCAGTCGGTGTAGCTGCGAGTGCTTCTAATGCAGCATTTTCCCAAACTGGGATTATTAAGACGCAGCTTTCTCTAGGTTTTCTATGAAATTCTGCTCAAAGGCACTAAAGATATTAAAAACAGATTGGGAGGCCACAGCTCTGCTGCTAATTTCGCTGTGGAGATAACATCAAGGTCGCACCTTTTTACTCACTTGAAAGGTGCACGTGGAGAACGCACTAATTGATGTAGAAGCACGGCGGGCATGTTAATGGAAAAAAAGTTAATTAGAAAATTTACATTTCATCAAAAAATAACTGCTGGGACGGATTTTTAAACCACAAATGATGATGATTTCTTTTTCTTGTAGCTCTGATTCATCACCACAGCACACCAAGCTGAGTCGAATGAAAGACTAAATGCAGTAAACTCAATTGTCCTTGGTTCTTTAAAGATTTCATACTCATTCCTTGTCAAATGTAGCAGAGAATTGGTGTCATATAAACTGCAACCTTTTTATTTCTGCAAAAAGGTCCCAGCTTGTTTTCTCTTATTTCTTTTCCTTTGCGAGTCAGTAAATTCAGCTGCTATGGCTAAATCAATATTTATGTATCCAAGGCCTCTTTGGTCAGCCTGCAGGACCAACCTACACACACACACACACACATGCGTGAGGAATTGCAGACAAATTTCCATTTAAAAAGTCACTGAGGCTATAATTCACAATGTTCCCAAGCTGGATGATAAATCAGGGCTGGAACAGCCTCGTAACAGTCCAGAGGGATGATGAAGGGCGTCGGACCTTCTCCTCATAAACGCGACGAGCTAACTGAAGCGGCTGCAGGACGAGATGAGCACCGCCCCCCTCCACCACCTCTGTTAGGCTGAATCCTCTGATCAGATCTTTGTTTGAGCGATAAGGTGACGGAGGGAAGTGACGCTGCAGGAGATGATTTGGAGGCTGATGATTAAGGATAATGAAATGAAGGCGATAATTTGATCCACCGTCAATGAAAACGTTAACGGCTATTCTCTCCTGATTTTCATCTTCTTTTTTTTGTCTTCCCACATGAACACTTTGATCAGTTTACCGCTGGAGATCATTTTGTGAGCTCCTGTTTGGTTTCCAGAAACTGTTAAGATTAAAAGCACAATACAAAAAGTCTGAAACATGCTAAAAGCAGAAAATGCACTTGTGATTGTAGCCATTCCCCAACTCTCTGTGAATGGGACTCATGGCCATTGATCAGTGGTTGTTGATCAATGGTCATGAGAATTTGCATAATTAAGATTAAGGAACTGACCTCCCAGCCCATTGCTCCTTCAGTGGGCTGGTTTCACTCATTATGCAAATGTCCTGTTTATAAGATTGAAACCTGCAGTCAGCTGAGCCTGAAGAAGTCACTTGGATGAGTGATGAAATGTTTCTCCCACAAAACGCTACGTCCAGATGAACAGAATCAACTTTTGGAGATATACCAGCAACACCACTAACATTAGCTAATGCTACAGTTAGAGACCGTAACACAATCAAAATGATTCCAACCGTGTGCAAACAACTTGCATCCATGTTACCTTTGAAGATGAGGACCAGGTCTCAGACAACTCGCAGTCAGCTGCAGTCGTCAGAGTGACTTTAGTGCATCACTAAGGCAATGAAATGATGGTAAGACACAGCAATTATCAGTTTACAGTTGTTCTGGTGTGAACCAAAAACACATCTCGATCAGGTTTCAAATGAACTCCAGAGCAGTTTGTTTATGTTGTGAATGTGATCCAACCTCAATCCAACACAGCTACCAGGTGTATGCTGCAATTTGAGCTAAGCGCCCTCCTGTAGTTGGGTGTGTTTTGCAATCTGAGATACAACAGGTACCATATATGTGCAGAGTACACAAACGGTAAGTGTGGAATAGCAGCTAGCAGTAGAATTAATGCAATCTGGCCACTCCGGTCTTTAAGTGATGACGTATGAATCCTGCTTCCAGCCCAAACTACCCTACGTTTATTAAGGCTGTTGTGTTTTTAACATGTTTTAATGTTTTGTATCTTTTTCTATTTAATCTGAACAAGCCCCTCAAAACAGTCAGTGATCACTGTCGGCTTCTCTCAGTTTTTATCATCGCTCTTCATTTTAAAGCTCAGTTTTTAAACCCTTATGATGTAACTCCAGCCCATGTAGCAGTATATGAATGACTAACCTCATATTGTGGATGGATTATCTCAGTTGTTCTCCTGACTGAAGTTTGGTCCGTTTACAGCATCCTGCCATGCGATTGCATTTGTCTCTAACCATCAGGAACCCTCACGTTAACTTTTATCCAGTGGAAAAAAGTTGGTGTTCATCCTGCAGGCTTCAGTGTGTTTATGCTAACATAGCTGTGTCGCTAGCGATCACGTAGCAGATCAGCTACTGATTGGAAGGTTGGTTGTTCGATCCTTGGCTTCCCCAGTCTGCATGCCAAATTATCCTTGGGCAAGTTTCTAACCCCAAGTTGTGTGAATGTTGGTTAGATTGCACTTGAATATAGAAGTGCTTGTATGAGTGTGAATGAGTGTATACAGCACTTTGAGTACTCTGGGAGAGTAGAAAAGCGCCATGTAAGAATCAGTCCATTTACCACATCATTATATACCAGCTAGCCAAACTTCAGTAACCCTACAAACGTCACTGCTGTTTAGTTTTCTGTCTTCATTTATGTTGGAAGTGATAACAGAGCTGTACGTTTTAATTTATGCAGAAACCTCTCAGTCAGAACATGCTATATCATGTTTAGGTGGAAGCTAGCGAGCTAACTTCCGCTAACTTCTAACTCTGTTAAACTTCATAAATCCTGTTTTCATGGATGCCTGGATGTTAAACTTAATTGTTACACCTGGTAAAGCAGAATGCTGATCATTTTATTTATTATGTAACTCTCAGCGATGGTGCAGTGTTCGTTTGACTTTGGACCCAGAAACGGCTAATGACGTCAGACTTAAAGAGCGGATAAGTGGACTAAACATTCTCATTTGGTTTAAAGAGACTTGCTTGGTTCACTTGTTGTTTTTGTCAGTTTTGGGAAAAAACTACAGGAAAAGGCTGAAGTTTGCAACCTCATCATCTGATTCAGAGTAAATGAACTTTAAGTGTGAAAGTGTGAGTGACTGCAGTCAGTCCAAGTTGGACAGCTTGCCTCCATCCAGGCAGCCTGTATAGTTGCCTTGTGAGTAGTTGTCATTATATTTTTACTGTATTGTGACTGAAAAAAATAACATCATGCAGGCTACAGTTAGCCCGCTAGCTTTGTTCCTAGTCATTCCTAGTCCTAGTCAGTTCTGTTTTTGAGTCGGGTCGTCATAGATATCCAAAGTTAAATCAAAGAATAAAGCTGGGTGTGATAAAATATAAATATATAACTGAAATAACTAACTGACCCTAAACTGAACTGAAAACAAACAGTGGAAATTACAAAACCATCATAATTCTGGTGAACATTTCTTTCTTTTATTATCACTGCCATCAATACTTGGAACCTGATTTATTTCATGCATCAGTAAAAATGGGTGTAGTTGCTGTCATCGCTGCAGTTTAACAGTAATAATTTTCCAATGCTGGTGTTGCATTAAATGTAATGCTGCCTGAAGTCTGAATATAAATGGTGACATTTGATTTTGTTGTATTTCTGTGTTTGAATTGAGGAGTTTAATTGTGGTCCTCTCAGCATGAGTGGAGCCATCATGGTTCACTGTGGTCACAAAGAGATGGACATAGAAACATTACTCAGGTCGGCTGCGGAGTTTAAATTATGCTCAGTTGGGACCCAGGAAAAACTCTCCTGCAGTCAGTCCACAGCCAGCCTGAACTGCTGATACAGGCGGGATGGAGCCATGCTTTCATGTTGTTCACGTCATACTCTGATCCTACCGTCCGAATGTCGCCGCAGAAATCGAGACTCAAAAGATGTTTCAATGCTTTTCTATTTTGCAGTTCTGGTGAGACTCTGAAATGCAGCTTTAGGCTGGCAGCAGCGACACCCAGTGTGGACTTCTGCCTCAAAGTTCAACATGTTGTGCACTCACAGATGCTCTTCTGCAGGCTTTGGTTGTTATTTGACCTACCGCTGCCTTTCTGTCAGCTTGAACCAATCTGGGCACTCTCCTCTGACCCCTGACATTAGCAAGGCACGTTACTGGATTACTGTGGCTCACTGGATTTTTTTTTTCAGTCCGACCTCTGTAAACACTAAAGATGGGTTTGTGGGAAAATCCCAGCAGATCAGCAGTTTCTGAAACAGTCAGACCAATCTGTCTGGCACCAACAACCATGCCAAGTTCAGAGTTCCCTCCATCAGCTTTCTTTCCCACTGTGATGCCCTAACCCTAACTTCAGCAGGTCATCTCGACAATGTCTTCTCGATTAAATTGAATGAATTTATAATGAACGTCTGACTGAAAACAAAGTTCTTGCTTTCTTAGAAGTTTCTCTCATTTTCCATCTTTTCAGGACTCTGGCCTACAAGAACCGCTATGTTCGAGTTCCAGATGGTCACTTCTGGATCGAGGGAGATCATCACGGCCACAGTCTGGACAGCAACAGCTTTGGACCGGTAAGCACTCATCCCACTGCAGTGACACTGATGCCCTCCTTTGGTAGAAACAACTTCTATGTTCAGGAGTTTTCAGTCAGTCTGCGATACACAGTAAGGAAACAGTATTGGGTTACGTCTCTTAATCTTCATCAGTATAAAAACACATGACTTTGCAGATGATGCTGCAGCTGCTGTGATGGCCTGATAGAGACCTCTTCTTCCTTAACTTCTATTTCACCACAATCACTCCAACCCTCTGCACGGCCTCCTTCACTGCATCTATGAACCTCCTCTGAGGGCTTCCTCTTTTCCTCCTTGCTGGCAGCTCCATCTTCATCATCCTTTGTCCAGTATATCCTGCACAGGTCCAAACCGTTGGTGGATTACGTGTTGGAATCTGTCTGACTCTATAAAATGGATGTTGATTAACTGCAAACCTTCAACAGTCTGTTTGAATGATCCCTCCAGATTAGACTAAGTCAGGTTGCCTCCTGACAGCAAACCTCTGCACTGATCACTGAAGCTACCTGCAGTCAGTCCCAAACATCAAAAAACCGAATTATACACCAACCACCATCTTTACCTGGTTGCACAGTGTGTCAGAGACATCACTGAGTGCAGAGACGGTCGAGCAGCTCCTGTAGGTGTGATGTGTGCAGGCTGCGTCATACTTGTGTCCATATGTGTGTTCTTGCATACACTACAAGTTTAAAATGTTTCAGCGGGATCCAAATCTGGGCTTCGATTAAACCTGTGATTGAAATGTTCTTTAATATAATTAATAATGAATTAATTCCTTTACAATCGTTTATTTAAAATTAGGTGTTTTTTAAATCCCTCTGCAGAGTTTTAGCTCCTCACCCAGTAGGCTGATGGACAGACGTGAACCTGAAAACAAATTTATCATAGACACACACACGCGTCAGCGTTGCCATGGAGACCTGACTAATGAGGACCCAAAGTCTCGCAAAAATCTCACTGTCAAAGTCGAGATTCACACTTTGTTCATAAATGTGGTGTAAAGCTTTATTATGGCTTAAACAGAAGGAGAAATAATGAAGCTGTGAGCAAGGCATTACTGCAGCACACTGTACTGTTTGGGGGAAACGGTAAAGAAGGAACATGGAGCTTTGGGAGAATCCACGGATAAATAACTCCAGTATGTTTCCTTTACGTGCACTGCATACTGTGGGCCCGGTTTCATCTGCCCTGTCCCGATCCGAGCTGGGTCCTCTCCTCCTGACTGGAGCCGAGCGTCACAGAGTCCGTAGGGAAGCCAGAGTGACGGCTTGTTTCGGCGCCATCTTTCAGCGTTTTGTTGTGGTCGGCAGAGATGACAAGTACGTTAACAAAGCAGGATGTTTGTGCAGACCTGGTTTGTTCATCCTGACAGACACATAAAGATTTCATTAACGCCGTGTTTCAGGCTCATCTCTCCAGGGCAGGAAGAGTGTTAAAAGTCTGATATTGACTCCTGTTCTCTGCGCTATTTGTAGTTTTTCCCCTGTTGGTTGGAGCGGGATAAATTTTTCAGCAAAGAAGTAGTCGTTTGCTATGGACAGCACATTCAGAGCCAGACAGAAAGCCCTGCTCTCCCACTGATGCAAAGCTATCCAAGGAGCTGAGCAGAAATCCCCTCTGAGCTCAAACCCAGAGCACATAGAGCAGCAGCTCTGCAGAGCCTCTTTGTTCCTGAGACGACCGGCAGCTGTTCTGCCCTACAAAGAGAGGCTGAGTTTTAAATATGCTGTGCCTCTCTCCTATTATGTTTCTGACCACACCACTCTTCTGCAGATTATGAGTTTTCTTTCAGTATTTCCAGCAAACGCCCGTTCAGTTCCAACTTTTCATTAAAGACCGCTGTTTCAGTGTGAAGTCTGTGGCTAAATGTAATTTAGATTCACATGATGATCATCTGCAGAGAATTTCCTACGAAGGTGTAAACTACAGCTCCTTCTTACAAACTGCTGCCTCTGACATCCTGTTAGACGTCTTTGCTATGAAGGGGGTCTGACCAGATGTCATGGTTGCTGGGATGGGCTGATAGAGAGGAGCTGAAATCAACCCTAACCCTGCCTTAGGATTGTTCTGGTCCATGGTTCTGTAAAACGTACTAAACAGTGAGTTCAGCGTATTTATTAACTTTCAGTCTCAGTAAATGGCACGCTTACTGCTTCCATAGGAATTAAGAATATTAAAGGTCAGTACCAGCCAGGTGCTGCTTATTAAATGCACAAATGCACTTAATTAAAGGATCATCAGTTGGTGTGAGCACCACTACTTATGGCACTTTTGCTAGTTTGAACCAAGCCAAGGAGGAAAGATGTCAGCAAAGATCTTGGGAAGGATTATAAGGCCGTCTACAAATACTAAGGGAGATTATTCACAAATTGAAAACATTCAGCTGCAAGTCTTCACGGCACTGGACGTTCCAAAGAATTCACCCCAAGGTCAGACCGTGCAAAACTCAGAAGAACTCCAAAAAACCCAAAAGCTGCAGCTCAGACCTCGGTTAGCAAAGAGTGAACAAGTATGGCTTGTTTAGGGCTTCAGGGGAAAGAGTCTTCTCTCTAAGGAGAACATACCAGCATGGTGTATATTTCCAAAACTGCATCTTAACAGACGAGACCACAGTGGAGATGTTCGTCCATCACACACAGCAGCACGTCTGGAGGAAACAAACACCTCATACAGCCGTCAGCACGGTGGAGGAGGGACGATGATCTGAGTGGACCATGAGCTCCTCTGTAGAGTCAGTGTGAGGCCGTGTGTCCCACAGCTGAAGCTCGGACCAAACCGGCTCATCAACAGGACAAAGATCCCAGCACAGCAGCAGGTCTGCAACAGAACGACTGAAGAAGAGAAGAACGGAGCTGCTGCAGAGCTCAGAGAGCTGTGCATGAACGAATGCTGCAAACCTCAATGAGGCGAAAAATATGAAGAAGAGTGGACCAAAACTCCTCCACAGTGATGTGAGAGACTGGCGAAGCCACAGAGAAAATCCTCCCTGCAGGTTATTGCTGCTACAAGCTGTTGAATCAGGGGTGGACTCAGTCTTTCCCTCGACTGTCACATGAAAACTTTCTTTTACATATAATCGTCTAACACTGTCACTGCACGGACAAATACAAGAGCGAAAGGTGTGAGGCTGTGGTATCTTACAGATATTTGTAGCTTCACGTTATTCTGCAGCTTGTGATGCTTCTGCTCGTTTGCTGGGGTGAAACTGGAGCTTCTGCCAGACCCAGAGTCCAAAGCTGTGGCCGTTTTTTTCTTTCTTCAGCACGTTTGAAGAAATCTGCTGACGTCAGAGTCAACAACAACATCAACCTGTGTTTATTTCATCCACACCTGCCACCATTTTCACAGCTATTTGTCTGTCACTGCTTAATGGCACAGAAGGATGACATCCAGTCGTTGCTCCAGACTAGCTCTGGCCTGTTCCAGCCTGGAGACGTTTCTCTGCTGCTCAGAAAGGTGGTGTGAGCGCAGTGGTCTTTGTCAGTAGATGTTTCATTGCAGAGTTGAAGAGCACACGTCAGCTTCTGCCCCTCGTGACAGACGTCACCGGCGTTCTCGTCCCTAAAATCACATTACCCTTTCATTGCTGCCAAATGGCCAAAGCCACAGCAGCAGAAGCCTCAGCTGTGTTGTATCATGAAACACAATGTGCTGACAGTTTCATATTATTACCAAATATTCATACCACAGGAAATAGACTCGAACAGCTAAATCAATTGACTATATTCAGGATGTATCCTCTCCAATGAGGAGGTCTCATTTGAATAAAATGTTCTTTTTAAAGTCAGCCTGGCAGTCCTCGCTGCCACCCACCTCACAGTCTTTCAGTGCAGCAGATGATGCAGTCAGCCTTCGGGTCGATCAGAAATAGTCCAAAACAAAACAGAGAAAAACACCCACAACCTCTATATACACTATATGGTCCGAGTGCAGCGCTGTATGGAGCTTTTTCCTCCACATTCTTTTGTTGCTAAGTTAAAAATGTTCTTTCTTTGTTTGGTTTTCAGAACTTTGTAAAATGTGAAACCGAGGAGATTTTCATGCATATGCAACACGAGTCAGGCTTTCATGTCAGTCGATCTCACGCTGTGGGAAGTATGGCCTATTAAAGCGTTTATAGGTGCAATAAATAAGATTTCTACTGAGCCCAAAGCATGAAACGGCTGCAATTCATCTGCAGAGAGTTGATGGGGGGGTGTTGATCAATACGGTGAGTCAGCCAGATGCTGAGGTTTCTTCCTCTCAGAGCTGAAAAGCCAATCCTGATGTGGACACAAACAGAGAAAGTAATGAGCCGAGAGAGCGCCGAGAAGAAAAGACTACGGGACTAAGTGATGCAGCGTGGAATTCGGCGCATGACCGCTGAACGGCAAAAGGAAGCCACTGACCAACGATCCGGAAAAATACAAAGAAAACAAAGGCGCAACAGAGACAACGAACCTGAGAGATGTTCGACTAACAAGCAAGGAAATTAAAAATAAGGCTAATGAAGACCCCAAAGGAGGACCCGATGGACAAAATCAGGAAAACAGCAAACCGTAGAGGCAACGGAGGAAGGTAGGAAAGTACGAAGCACAAAAGCTGTTAATTATTAGGGCGGTCGCCTTTAAAAGGTGAAACCAAAACAGAGAAATCCAAGAAAATAGAATCAAAACAAGTGAAGCAAAAAATTATGGATGAATTACAAAAGTCTAAACTATACCAATAACTTTAATGGTTTCTTTAATGGTTACCATTAAAGAAACCCTGAGCATCCATCACGCAGGCCACCTGTAAAGTTTTTTATTCTCATCGTTCAGGAACCGTTTGAGTCTCTCGCCCAGCGTTGTTGTTCAGTCACGGTAATGTGACGTGTACCTGGAAACACCTGGGCGGAGCTCATTATTCTGTTCAGCACCTGATGAATGCTTGTTGCTACCATCGTCCATCAAAGCTCCTCTTCTGTTTTCAAAACCATTGAAATCTGTCTGCAACACTAGCAGAGTCGTAGTCATTGA